GATGGTCTGTAAAGACCGAAACATGTAAGGGATGAAGGACTGAAATAAGAAAAATCTTTACTAGTCACACTGGACGGAACTATTTAACCTCTTATGAGGTTATGCTACAAACCTTGCCAATGAAACCAAGCGCATGAGCACCAATGCATAGGAAAAGTGGAAAAATTTGTGTAGACATGTAGTGCCTACTGCTAGTGCTATCTGTGGAGTAAAACCTGAACACTCAAGACTAAAAGTTTACGGAATCCCATGAAAAATCTGTCATGTTATACACATCTTCCTTGTGAGTTGGATCCAGACAGAAGAAATACCCGAACTGGGTTTGCTGATTGGATTGGTCAAGCATGCCATATGGGCTGATTACTTGTCATGTCTATACCCACTGTTACTTTCAATTTCTAAAATCTTAGCATCATGCCAACCTACCTCCACTGTAGCCCTGTGAGTGGTAGTTGGCGATGAAAACGGAACTCAGTGCCTGGGAATATAACTGGGCCACCTTGTTCCTGGGGGTATAAATATTTGGACCTGGCCCTCCAGGTTTGGGAAATCTTGAATGTGAGACAGTAAAGTGTGTTCATGAGTTCCATGGGACTCGGACCTGAGAATGACTGTGCTGGTGATGACCAGCACCAATTGTAAACAACGGACCCATCCTCCAGTCAGAGAGGATGTTGCATAAGGACTATAACCGAAAGTGTTCAGTTGGAAAATAAAATTACCAGTTGTGAGTCTCAAGGGGCTTTTTGCCAAGACAAACTGATTGGTGGTAAATGGCCTATCGAAAAGGAAGTCTGACTCTGACAAGGTTTGTCCACTTATTGAAGTTAGCTCTTTCTATGGGACCCAACAGTGTAGCTGTCTTCCCCCCCTCACCTGGGGACAAAAACAGATCCAGTTTCCAAAATGCTGAGTTTTCTAGTTTCTAGAATACTGGGCAATAGACAAAGTCCAAAAACCTACTAATTCTGAGTATTATATGTACACCATTGTCAGAACCCTTTAGAATCTACAAATGTTAATACCAGATCATAGTGGTTCAACAGAATTTATGACACTCCAGACTTCACTGTGAAGCCCTACATGAAGTGTCCACAGTCTATCTTCGAATGGATTAGAGACAGTACAGTATGAACATCTACGTGTCAAAGTGGTCTGCTCTTTAACACGTAGGTGTTCTTTCCGTACTGTCTCTAATCCATTCTAAGATAGACTATGGACACCTACGTGTTAAAGAGCAGACCACTTAGTATACTTGTACACTAATTTCTACACGTAATGTACAGTTCCCAGTCATCCTGTTTTTCCTGGGACAGCTCCATTTTTTCATATAATGTCTCACTGTGAAGTAAAAAGTAAAGTACAGGTATCCCTGTAACAGGCCGTGGACGCCCATAGGGTTGAGAGATGTTGAGGTTCCCACATTTTCTACACAATCGGCTCATAAATGGTGTTAAGGTTGTCAGCCTTAGCTGCCCTTTACCCCCAAGAATATTCCTGGTACTCATTTCTGTTAGAGGCTGAGTCAACCCCAGGGCCACAGTGCTGCTGGAAGGATTAGGTAAGTTGAAAAAATCCACCTCATCAAGATTCGATCCTGTGACCTTCAGGCTTGTAGCATAGTGCCCCAATGTCTTGTTTGCTGCCCAAAATTTATTTCAAATGTCTCATTTTTAAGTGCACCAAGCACCTTGAAACTCACAACCAAAGATGTTTTTATCAACTGAGCCCTTGTGGTAAGAGTCCTTACGTAACATCCTCTCTGACAAGAAGACGGGTTTCTCTCTTGGCCTTTAATCAAGCATACATACCACACTTATAGCATGTTTTTACATCTGCCAGAGTCAGAGTTGGAGTTACTTCATGAATGCTGGTTTGCCACCCATCAGTTTGTCCTGGCAAAGAGCCCTCTGAGACAACCAGCTTTTTATTTTTTCAACTGAACAACTGTGATCATTGTCCTTATGTAACGTCCTCACTGACGAGAGGATGAGTCTGTCATTTACACTTGCTGCTGGCCCTCACCAGCCCAGTCACTCAGGGAAGAGTCCCACACACTCATGACCACATTTTCCTGTCTCAGATTTCAGACTCCCCCCAACCTGGAGGACCAGGTCCCCATATTTACATCTCCAGGAACAGGGGGATGTCTATTCTGGCTTACTAAGAATTTGCTGCCTAACAATATACTTCGTTCCGTTGTCTGTTTTGCTGCTATTCCATAGAAACAAATGTTTCAGAGTCATTTGCTAGCAACAGCTGTTTCTCTGGCTCCACAGTTCCTGCTATGATGTCTGCAAACAAGGTCCCCTCAAAACTGGCCTCTGAGGCACTCCATTTCACTGATAATAAGGTGCAGATGGAACACTGCCAATGTAAACACAAGGTCTGTATTATGAAAGAAAAAGTTGTAAATAACCTCTAACATTCCAGTAACAGGGTATACTTTCCTTCACAGGCAAACTGTTTCACACATTTAGCAACCTCCTGAGCTGCACAAAGTCTAGCACTAGTGGCATCACTTGATGACTTTATGTAGTCACAAACTGTAATCTTGTTTCTTGCAGTTTTCATTATAAATCCTCTGCTGTGTTATAAGTGCAACTCCACCCCAACAGTTTCATACAAATATGTTATGTTTTGCTACAATGTGTCATTTTACAAATTCTTATGAGATACTTCAGCTGCTATACCTCATACTGATAATTAAGTAACAAAATCCATCAGGTATAAACAACATGCAAAAAAAGATAGATAAAGCCATCCCTGTAACAGGCTGAGGAAGCCCAAAGGGTTGTGAGATGCAGAGGCTCCCACATTTTCTAGACAATTGGCTCACAGATGGCAGTGAGGCTGTCAGCCTTACACTATGGATTAGGTCAACTGAAAAATCCAGTGAACTCACTGGGAACTGAACACCTGACCTTTTCGTTTGTATCATAGTGCCTCAACCAACTGTGCTACCCTGTGTCCATAAATAACATGTATGACTTAAATATGATTTACCAGATGAAATGTGCTCTACATGTTTCAGTCGAATATGGCAACCATGAGGCACTTACATGTTACAGAAGAAAATGCTTAGTGTACATTCATACCTAGCAGTAATATATACATATCATTTAAACCCTAAGAAGTTCAGAGTGTACCCAGATCTTTGCTTACATATAACTGCTGATGGTGTGTGTAATATTTTAGATATTCTGATTTATGTAACTGTTCATTTTATCTATGCAGATTCCTTGCAGAATGTGATTGTTACATTATTGCCTCACAGTCTGCACATATAACATGGTGTATTTAGTTATTTTCCTTTAGCATGAGTTTTCATACCTGTCCATCCTTTGTTGCTGTGTGCATTGTGCTGTTTTGGTGATGATAGTTTCTGCAGTGTTACTGGCAGGAAGATATGTGTTTAAAATATAGTTACGCACATGCATGTTATCTTGTGCAAATACTATACTTAATAGAATGTTTTTTTCATCTATGAGTAGACTTATCTTTTCATGTTTATATATGTAAAGTAAAGTAACAGGCCGTGCAGGCCCATAGGGTTGTGAGATGTTGAGGTTCCCACATTTTCTAGACAATCGGCTCATAGATGGCAGCAAGGTTGTGAGCCCTAAACGCCGACCACCCTTTACCCCCAAGTATATTCATGGTACTCATTTCTGTTAGAGGCTGAGTCGACCTCATAGTGCAGCTGGAAGGATTAGGTCAATTGAAATAAATCCAATGACCCCCACTGGGACTTGAACCTGCGACCTTCCAGCTTGTAGCATAGCTTTTATATTTGTATATATAGAAGTTTCTTTTGATCATGACCAATATCCCCACTTTCTGAGTGCCTCAAAACATTTATTATATTGTAATGGATTTGATCACAAGTTGTCAGCCAACAGCTCTGTAAAAAACAGTCTGCTGCTAGGTTATGCAACAATGGAGGAGGCTGTTTTTTGTGCCCATGATGACATCACAACAGGAGATAGTGATCACGGGACATGTGCTTACTGTTGGTCAATGTTTGTCCATCGGTTACGTAAGCAAGCAGAATTCCTAAGCTGGGACAGATAGTAGCAGCGGAAGCATGGGAACAGAGTGAACTGGAACCAGGACTACAGAAGAGTACAGGAGGTCAGCCTGCGAAGACTTAACATGTGAACTGAAGACTTCATATGTTACAATTACAATAATCTTGAAAGTGTAATAATGAATTGTATTATTTTTGTTACTTCCACGTGGATCAAATGATAAGTAAAGATGATAAAATAAGGATAGTAAAGCTTATCGGTTATCAGATCCCCTCAATCCGTCTCAAATAGTTAAGGCAAGAGATGGAGAATTTCTGGAAGAAGAAATTATAAACAAGAAAGAGTGTGAGAAACGATATCAGCTTAAAGAGATTCTTCCAGAATTGTCAAGTTTCTACCTCGACCCTCAAGATGAGACTGATTCCGCAAGAACAAAACCCCGAAGATGACCAAACACAAGTAGAAAATGAAGGAAATGAAGTTCCATGGTTCACTTAAAATGTGTGAAATTATCCAATAAATCAAATTATTAAATCTGGTACCCATAATTTATTGTGTTACCAGGATACACATGACAACATATTCCATTTGACCATACTGGTGTCTATAGTTTTTGGGTTGTGCTGCCAATGCTGATTTCTATTGCTTTTTGTACCTCTTACATGTTCTTTGTATCTAATGTCTGTCTGGTACATTAAATGTACTTTGGGCAATGGTCAATATCCAGTCTATCTGTATAATCTGTCAACCACTGTTATAAACCTTAACAGAATCATCATTTAACCTGTCACACATCCTCAACATAATGACAACTCTTTTATCACATAGATATTGATAGCAATGAAGTCAGAAATAAATGACAATCTTCCACACAGATCCTGGGAACCCTCTGATGTAGTACCAAAGCAAAGCTTTCTGCATATTTGTGATACCTGCCTAACAGTACAAATCAAGAGACATACAGCTCACCTCAGGTTCTGCCTTTACTTCTATAAATGTTACTGGCATTGGATTCTCTTCTTCTTCTTCTTCTTCTTCTGTGTCTGAGATAATTTCAGCTTTTATATTCCTGGCCTGATCTGCATCACAATAGGCTGGATATGTCTCACCAAAGGGACCCCGTAATTCTTTCTTTATAATTGTAGAGTTCTGTAAAAAATCATATCTTTATCAATCATGGTTGTACAACCCCATTACATGAAGCAGTATGTGCTCTCATTGCTATGGCTGTTTCTCATTACATCTAAATCATAAGTGCTGTTCTGTACAGATTTCTTCTGTACACCTTTCAGAAACATTACAACATATTAAGTTCATGGCATGTTCCTGTGAAACAAATGGTCGCTACAGCAGTACAAAAAACATTTGGTTTTTATGAACCTAATTTTTTTTTTTTTTTAACGTTTGACAATGTATATGATAGATACATATTTTAGTTATTTTAATGTGTGAACATGGCATGCAATGAACTGGTTTGACGTGGACAAGTAAGCACCTGAAGATGGCATTATTATGCCGAAACATGTAGTGCGAGGGAAAGAAGGAGATAAATGAGTGTATGCACTGCAAGACGGATTAAATAAATCATGGACTAAAATTTCATTACTGTGTTCACACATACCCATCATGGGTCTGTATCCTTAGCCAAACAAAGCCAATCTAAACACCCCAAATTTATATCATCAAAATCTGTCTTAATAGTATCTTTCCATGTGCACATAGTCTGAAAATTGGTCTCTTTCTTTCAGGTATTCTGTGCAAATCTTTTCACGCATTTCTCATTCTCACACGTGCTATCTTGCCAACCCATATCAATCTTGCTGAAATGATCACACAGTATACCAAAACTGTTATCATGTGTACAACCATGTATAAAAAATGTCACCAGAAGGATTATGAAAATTAACACAACTTGTCATAAAATATTTAGTTTCTTCAGCCATGAGAATTGACAGATGATGCCAATAACACTCTTTCTGTGCACACAAACATAAAACACTCACCATGATCTCTCTCACAGAAGGATACACTTCTTCGGCCCTCTGTAGTATAATTCTTGGAACTCTATTTGCAAGACAGCGTAGAATGCTTTGCAAACATACAACTCGTTCCTCGCACATGTTTTGTGGGCTGCAAAGAAATTCACTTACAACAATCCTAGTGATACAGCATCTTATTTCTAATAAGTGCACCAGTATCTAACTGGGAATAGCTGCCCAAGTCTGTATGGAAACATGCTTATGTGCGATTTTGGGTTCTCAGAGGAGAGGACTGTAACACCTACTGCCTTATAGGAGAATTATAGTCTGAATTATACTTACTTAGTTTAGAAGGGCGATGCCTCACCCATTTTGAAAAAATCTGCCACTACAAAAACGTCGGCAACAGATTACAAGCCTACGCGGCGTTACACTATGGAAACAGTACACCCAATCTACAAATACGTCCCAAAAGCGTATTCACTACAAATACGTATATACTGCGAATCTTTTAGGTCGCTCTAAACAATTAGCTCTCACGACTTCCTTAATAAGTCGGACTTGACAATATAATAGGCAAATATAAGAGCATAAACTCTAAAAATGTGCAATATATTACAAACAACATTCAAAAACGTTGCTGGGAAGTTTAAGACCAATCCCAATTACAAATAGCAACAGCGAAATAATACAAAAATTTCTATAAATAGATTGTCCTTCAATTATCGTAATAATTTCCTAAAGTACATGCAGCGTATTAAATTAAACTTGCAAGTTACAAGCCTACCAAATCTTTCACTTGCCACCTCCGAACGCTCCGAACGACGAGAACTTTGCGATTAATTGTTAACATTCCGATGCCAATGTTGGCAGCGCGATAAGCAGTCGATAACGGTCGATAGTGGATGACGGCAACGACGGGAACCTCATCAATGAGGATAACTATTTACGTACGTCACGGGTGAAAGGCACTAAACAGACCACTAATCATGACAACTGAGTCGTGTATTTCTTTTATAGACACACTGGTGAAGTGGTTAGCTACTATTCTCTCTCATAATCACTCGATAATTTCAAACAAAACGGTATTATTGTCACATGGAACTTCCGAGTACAAGACCCAGGAACGCCAAGTGCAAATCGCGGAGCTGTATGCGTCTGTCAAGGTTGACAGGAGCGCGGAGAATTCTGTCCTGCAGTCTCTGCAATTTCATTAAATGAGTGTCCCCCTAAAACACCCATTTGGGACACACATAAGTCATTATTGATCTAATTAGTGCTCTGTACATGATTACTATATTAAGGCTCAAATGCTTATTTTGAATGTTGAGTAGGTCCTAATGCACGTGCCCAAGGCCTTAGCTGCGGTTGTCTCGATGTCTCCACGTCATCCTATTGAAGATGGCATCGAGATATTTAGCATTATTTACAAATTCAATGTTCCATCCATTTAGTTGGGAGTTCATCCTCAGGCATTCTACGTCTTGAGGGTCTTGAGAGATGTAACACCCATGCCCTCAGATGACCAGAGAGGAGCAGCAGATGCAAAAGGGGAAACTCTTAGCATCAAATCTACCTCAGCAGATCAGGGGACCCATTCAACAGAAGGAGAAGAAGAGATAGGCTTTAGGGGCTTTAGTTTTGTTGGTAAACGGTCAGAGTTCTGAATTGGTATCCTGCAAGCCTGCAGGTGTGTGTGCATGAGCGGCTTTTTTAAAGGTTATTTGAAGACTATATCTAGACGATCTAGACTACATAGCGCTGGATGAAATAATGGCTGATAAGTGATGAACTAGGAATGATCTGAAGTGAAACAGTTGTAGCATAATGGAAGACCTGCCTGGCAATTGCCTGCAGTGACTAAGGAATGCCCCAAAAAAGGCAGTTGTGATAGTCGGTGTCCCAGCCGATAATCTAATTGATCACCTACTGTATAGGAGTCTAGAGCACAACCATTATGCAAATCTGCTCATCAGATTACTCACTTGTTGTATGCTTGTTATCTTACATTGTTGACTTGGAAGGTGATGAAGGCTGTGTGATATGGGTTTGTATATGTCATGCTGAATGTTTTTAATTGTGAATAAATGGGCATAATGGAAAATTGGGATACTGCTGCAGAGTACAGTGGTCATAAGCCTGTGTATTCAGTAGAGGATTAAAAAATATTCGGTCACACTTCCTGGAGAGCAAAATTATATCAGCTAACATACTTTCTGGCACATAGACACTAAACCATGAGGAAACAGGATGTGCAATTTGTGACCATTTGTCAGAGATGGTTTACAATTGTTTGCACATCATGTTGTTCCCTTTTATAACTAACATAGCTAACGAGGGCCACAGAAGCATGTTTCTTTTGGCTTTACATATGGGGTCGAATGACAGTCTATTTCCAAGTAAGTTAAGTGTAAAGGTAACATTTTCCATTTGCTTAATTGATTAAGTGCTATGCTGTGAAGACATGAAGGGAGTGAATGTATAGCCCCACCATTATTGACCCCAACTCTAGATGAAAGTGAGCAGTCACCTCTACATCCTGACTGCTTTACCGCCTGGTAAAATCCTCCAGTACTCTTTGGATAGGTTGGATAGGCCACATACTCAATATGTATGCTGTGAAGTAGAAAAATCTCTTCCCCCAGCCTGGAATCACAAGTGATGGGGTACCCAAGAACACTGAGTGGATAGAAGAATTTAAATTCACGTCTTCAGAAGTCAGTAGTGAGTATGATAATTATATGCATTTTATGAATGGAATTGTTACTTGGTTACAGTATAACATTTGCACTTCTGCACAATGAATATATGGATCGACGTGTATGCACTGTGCAGCAATTCCAGATGGTAAGGCAGGTAGAGGAAGGTGCCAGATTTGGAGATGATGAGTGTAACATGTGGAAGTTAATCGAAGTTCTAGAAGGTGCATGCAGTATGTGTGGCTGCAGGAAAATATATACTGACAAGGAGCCTGATTGAGCTGCTGGAATAAAAGGCTAGTGTTGTCTGCTGTGGCTAATAGGCTGTAAGTTTTGAAAGGGATCTGAACCACAGACTTCGTATATGGACACTTAGAGACACAGCTACAGTGGGTGTAAATCGCTTCAAGATTGACATGTGATTCATCATCTTTGAAGGCACATGTGGCAATTCAGCTGTGAGGAGACAGTCATGGGAATTCTAAGAGGACAGTAGGTCTGTAGCCATTACTGGACTTCTCATCTTTCTGCGGTTTTATTCCAAACCATAGAAGTACTGTACTACCGTAAAGGAGATATGGTGTACATGAGAGTTTTGACTTTGTGGTTTAAGCTGCTCATACACACAGACAGCTTGTGGCTTTCCTTCATTTGGGCAGAAGCTTCAACAAGAAACCACTTATAACGTTTCATAAACCATTTTGCCTGGATTAGACAGGCACTACACAATACAACCAGTTTCCATGTTGCAAATCATGATTATGGAGCTTAAACAGAAACGCATAGAACAGTGTGTAGGTCATTAGAAATGCAATAGTGCAGTTCAACACAGTTTCTTCTAAATTATTACAGTTGGAAATGTCTAGATCGGTGCTCTTAAATTACATTAGCTGGTGAAGTACAATGGAGTCAAGAGGATTATTTTGGTTTTAGTACACAAGGTTGTGGTTTCAGATCCCATCTGAGTCATGAATATATGCAGTTTCTCAGGTGTTAAGAACCATCAGAACTTCTCCAAATATGGTTTATGAGTTTTTTGACTAGAAATGCGCTGGTCAGCAGGGCGATAGCGCCTTCGACTGACATTCAGGAGGTGGGTAGTCAGACTTGCAGCAAGAAATGAAGTATCCTCTCAGAGACATCTTGTTTTTTCTGTTGGTTCACCAAGGCAAGTGTTGGAACAGGGCCTTAACACAATCGATCATCCAATAAATATCTAATCTGTACGAGGTCTGTGGTTCTAAGTTCTGGTGAGCAGTAAGATAATGCTGTTCTGAAATATGACGCTGGGTATTTTGGTACCAGTTTGGTAGGTGGGTAGCAATGTTTTTGGTGGGACATACTGCCTCCATCTTAACGGTGGATGATAGAGATGCTGGTAACCATTTACCGAATTATGCTGGGTCATGTCACGTACCAGGCCATAGCCTTAAGCATCCGACAGTGACCAAACCATTGGACTTGCCTATAACAAAGAAAATTTCTACACTCATTCCATATCACTCTAGGAATCTTGAAATCGGCAATGATCCCATCTTTCTTAATGAAATTAACGAGTTCTGTGGTACATGCATCCTTCACGAGGTCATTACACAATGGATATTATAAAGCATAATAAGTATTGTTGACCTTACTTATCTTATGAGAGATAACATTGTGGTATCCCTTCCATGTGTCCATAGTTTAACAGTGTTTTAACAAATCAATAGATATGATGAAACATTGTATGAATATTATGCCACCAGAAGACAACAAACCTTCGAACTTGCTAATAGCTCCATCTATCTTCTAGGAAGTACTGTGCGAACTTCTGGGGTGCACGAGACTGTCATTATCGGAACACTACTTGCAAAAACATGGAAATTTGATGAGGATATTATTTTGTGAAATGTAAAACGTCATGTTCACAAGAGCCCACTACTGGGCTCAGTTCTCAGCCATATTAATACAGTCCATACTACTCTGTTCTGTTTATGAGCCATTTTAATTTGATTTTTCTCCCTACAACTTGAACTTTGACCCCTCGGTCATTCTGATTACGCTATCCTGGCTCCTCCTCAGTTTATGTACCTCCCTTAATGTGAGAGACCAAGTTTCACACCCATACAGAACCACAGGAAAAATTATAGTTTTGTATATTCTAATTTACATGTTTTTAGACAGCAGATGAGAAGACAAAAGGTTCTGAACTGAATGGTAGCAAGCATTACCCAGATTCAGTCTCCTCTTAATTTCCTCCTGAATCAGGTTTTCATTTGTTATGGTCATTCCCAAATATCTGAACTGTGCCATATTTTTAAAACATCTGGTAGCTATCTTTATGTCATAATTCTGCCCTGTATTCTGGTGATGAGACAGCAACATGTTTACTTCTTAACCAACCTCCTTACTTACAGAAATGATGCCATTCAAATCACTAGAGTGAACTCATCCATTTAGCAGTAATATTCTAACAATTATCAAGTATATGCCTTGGCTGGGTTTCCAACTTTCCTGACAGATTCTCTGTGGCTTCTGCCAGCGTGTCCAGGATAAATGGCATAAGAAACATTATGTCTGCATGCATACATGCAACGCACATTAAAATATTATGTAGTCCTACATATTACAATACTTTTTAAAATGTTTAGTAAAGGTTTAATCTTTAAATTTGTGATATATGTTTGCTGACTTTAGATGTAAAACTCCTGTATGTGTTGTGAAGAAATTAGATTATGTCTTATGTAAATATGGTCATACAATTACATATTTCCATTATTGCTTTGTGTGCTAACAATGTAGAAATGCATTTGTATTAGTTTCCCTTTCTAATGCCAAATAGTTGTGATAAAATATTTTTAGTTTCGTAATGTTCTTCAGCGTGTTTTAAATTTATACTTGTGGGATCTCGATGCTTGAGGAGACAACCATGTGAAATGGTAAAAACTCTTTTTGTAGAGGACTAACCTAAGCGAGTGATGGTGGTATTGCTGTCCCTGAACAGGGCTATTATTGGAAGCTGGGCAAAACTCTCGTAGCAGCCGGGTACCTAGCACTAGTGTCAGCATTCTTCCTTGTAGCAGCCCAGTGACTGCTAGTTGGCTTGCTTATGGGATGCCAGGTGAAGGTCTTGCAGTAGTGGGCTAACCGGTGCTAGTGGCGATGAGGCCAGCCTCCTTGAAAATTTTGAACTAAACCAAAAAACCCTTCCTCAACATTTAACATTGTGTAGCAGCCCATTTTTACAGTGGGAATCAACCACAAATTTTATTATAATTTTTAAATGGAATATTTTATGTATGCACTGTAATATGCAAATTATGATTTCCAGTTTCAAATATATACATAACTATTATGTTTTCGCGTAGTCCACCTAAGAACACTGTCAAAATACCAGTATTTTTAGAACTTCCTTCCAGTTAACATTAAGTGTTATCTACTGATATCTAAAGGCCGACATTTAACACCCATAAATAGTGAATTGTACACAGTCCTTTATATAATATATAACACTTCATAAACTGACAACAGAAAACTGTTTGCTCATTCCAGCAGGGCATTAATGCTCAACTCTTGTACTGATCACCAGGAATTTCATAATTTCAGATCTCTCACCTCACCATTACATTATTTTCTTATGTATATACTAGCTGTGCCCGGCCACGCCTTGCTGTGGCTCAGTCTGCCTGTTCTTCCCCAGTTTGATTTGAAATTACTCGATGCATTGCTTCTGCTCTGCGAGTACGACGATCTAAGCTTGTTTCTCTGCGAGGCATTATTTGGATGAACTAAAGCAGAACGATTGCACTGAAGAAGAAGAAAGAAAGTTATAACAAAAACATATGAAATTGAAAACATTAAAAAGGAAAGAACACGAACTGGAAAACAAAGAAGAAACAAAAAACTTAAAAATACCGACAAAATATTTCAAATCAAACGCAGATCAATCAACACAGCTTAATCCCACCGCCAATTGCACCAAAAAATAAGGAGAACAGTTAAGAAAACGAAATGAAAAACAATGAAACATAACCTATACTCACGAAATGAAAGGTATGGTAAACGACACAGCCCAATTCCAACACCCAAATCCAATTTATATTTATATAGATGTAACGTGTTTGGGCACGTCACGCGAGTATTTATTGTTCTTCGCTTTTAGACTTATACGCTTTGCAAGAATTGCCACTTGCAGTATCAGAACTAATTCCATTTCGCTTAACTCCTGGCCCAATGCTTTGCTGCCTATGTTGTCGTGGCTGGATCTCGACTGTCTCTGGCAGCGGCTTCCTGTAGATCCATTGTTATTGCATTGTCTCTGTGGGAACGCTCCGTGTATTCGTCGTAACCGTGGAGATTCGATGTTCTCGACACAACGGCTCACTGTTGGGAAAACAGTATCGCTATTGTTACCTCCTACGCAACGGTCTGTTCTAGCATTTCCATAGAAGTGACTCTTCTGAATTCGAAACACGTTACAACAGATGGCGATGTTTTTCAAAAGACGCATGTTTTTACCTGTCACAGGTGTGACAGCCCAATTCCAACACAATGTCACATGAAATAATTAAATCAAAATGAAAATAAATCGAAACTGTTTATATTCGGCGGTAGCTATCCCAAGACTGACTCCTTCGGCGGTTACTTCCAGACTCTCCTCTGTATCCCTCGGCATCTGGCCCGAGACTGACTGCTTCTTGTCCAAGCTGGACTAATTATACCTCGGTGGACGCTATACAATGAGCCTTCTGTTGTCTGTCACCGAGGAAACGCTGCCAGAGCCGGGTCCAAAACCCTGAGTGCAAACTCAGGATCTCTGCTGTGATTTCACTCGGAATCTCTTGTGATACTTGTGACCTCGTGATACTGAACAGTCGCCGGAGCTACACTCTCTTATACATATAGCCAGCGTTCGGATGGGATAGGGAATACCTTATCGAAGAGTTAGTTTCATCTGTTGCTTAGGAAATGCTAGCACAGAACACCTTGTAGAAGTATTTGGTTTCATCTGTTGTTATGCAACGGAACCTCCTATCCTCTCATCTCCGGGGAAACGCGTTTGTTGTTTCGGCAATTCCTATGCAACGGTCTGTTTCATCTGTTGCTTAGGAAATGCTAGCACAGAACACCTTGTAGAAGTGTTTGGTTTCATCCATTGTTATGCAACGGAACCTCTTATCCTCTCATCTCCGGGGAAACGTTTTTTTTTTTTTTTGCAATTCCTGTGCAACGGTATGTTCTAGCGTTTCCATAGAAGCGACTCTTCTGAATTCCAAACACGTTAAAACAGATGGCGACGTTTTTCAAAAGACACATGTTTTTACCTGTCACAAGTGTGACATCTATATAATAGGTATATAAAAACGCGCGTTTGCTGCCAGAATCAATCTAATTAGGCGCATCTAAGAAGAAGAATTCTGCAACCCTGTTATTGACCGTTTGCATTATTTGATCGTAAATGCCTTTTTGCTCAAGCGTTAGCCTAGGAATATTTGATTGCACATATGACAAAAGATCACCCGTGTTGTAATTTTGTTCGCGACGCAATTCTACATTGAACGAAGCAGCAGCAGATCGATTCGGTGATGGCATTCCCAGTTGATTGAGAACTTTGCTCGCGATTTCTAAGCACAAATCTTCAATCATTATCAACGCTTCGTTGCAGATTTCTGCTGTGAAATCCATGTTCATATTGGAATTTTCCTTGCGTATTCGACGGAAAATATCTTCAGCCATGTTCTGCTTTGTTGATTCTGTGATTCCTATGCAACGACCCATTGTTATTGCACTGTCTCTGTGGGAACGCTCCATGTATTCGTCGTAACCATGGAGATTCGATACAGTATCGCTATTGTTACTTCCTATGCAAGGGTCGGTTCTACCGTTTCCATTGGGGTGACTCTTCTGAATTCCAAATTTCAATTCTGTTTTTCAAAAGACGCATGTTTTTTTACCTGTCACAGGTGTGACATGTATATAATGGGTATATAAAAACGCGCGCATTCGAATACCTGTCAAAATTTCGAAGCAGTCGGTGAAGAACTTTCGGAGATCTTCGAGGGGTAACAAACCAACATTTACATTTTTATTTATATAGAAGAATATACTTAACTGTTAGTCACCATAAATAAGGAGAAAGACCTTTATTACAAGAATATGAAGCTAATCAAATCTGGCTGCAGAGAAGAAGGCTTTTACATTTTTACATCTTCCATGAGGGAATAGTGTTCTTTAATTGCATACATTTGATAGTGCAAAGTTCCACAGCAAATACAATATGTCTTACATTCAAACACTTTTAACATACCCTATGGCCATTGTACACACATCCAAATATCAGCAAACTTCAGAAAACATTAAAAAAACTTTCAATTAAAAATTAATGAAACAAATGAAGTATCTCAATAGAAGTGGAACAACTATGCTTACAGCAACTACATTAGACATGGAATATGATTAGACAGCATGCAAGGAACCCATTTTATTATTAATATTCTCTAAGCAGTTAACACAAAATTGGTCCCACTTTCATTCTCTCTTCAAAAATTAGGGCTGGCTGTACAGAAAATATCACCATCTTTTCTTGGTTCATTGATGGCTGTCATTTGCTTTTTCTTCAATTAAGTAATTCAACTAATATTCATGTGTTTATTCCCTAAATAAAGATTATAATACATGTTCAGAATTCTAATACTGGATACTGGACAGATACTTTATGGAAATAACTGCGGAAAGATAACAGATAGGAATGAACATCTTTCAGGAATGCAGTACTACAAAGCAAGCAATTAATGAATTTGTTTTTCAAGTTGTACAAACATTTTTAGCTGTGAAAAGCTGGTGACATTAGTCAGTGTCATTAGACATAAAGTTTATTTCGCTACTAAACAACCACCTAAAGTATAATAAGGTAAGGGTACAATGTTTGGAATGAACTTAAAACAATTAGGGCACAAAAAGAAGACAGAACTATTTCAGTCCCTGGAGTTATGGCAACAAGGAATTGACCTCTCGCAACAGAAGATGACATCTGACAAAACTGAAGAGATTAGGTTTAAAAGTGACAGATGTCCACAGCCTGACAAAATTCCTCAAAAATATCACTTAATGAGGTCAAAACAACTGAGCTTGGCTCATTATATGATACACAGCTAATAACACAGCACAGTGGAATGAAATAAATAAGTCAATGTAATGAAATGAAAAATAAATACATAAATACAACAAAATGAAGAATAAATACCTCAATGCAATGAAATGAAACAAATAACATCTTAACACAATGGTATGAAATACAAAGTGGAGATTAGTTGTATTTTGTCAACAAATTTCCTTACTAACATATAACTTCAATTCACACTTAAATGGTTAATGCAAAACTTTACAGAAATTAATCAGCTACTTTTGAACATGTCCTGAGTGAAGACCTGTGTCCTGTGTGCTACAGGAAATAGAGGAGCTGATCTAGCTTCGAGCTTGGAGTCTTGTGAATGGCCTGGCCCACCAGATATGCCAATTTGTGGGCATACTGACAAGGAGCAGGTACTCTCACTGTTCCCTGAAGATAAAGAAGAGGGTTTATGGTTACATTCTGACCAAACACAATTCAGCAGTTAGTTGGCTGCAATGGTGGATCGAAATATGTGGTGTGTCAGACTTTCCTGATATTCTTCTGGCAGATCATGCAGAAGAGAGACACATTCCTTCAATCAACTGCATCACTGAGACGAACCAAAAGGCAGTACAGATTGCAAATAACTTACCCAGATTACAAGAAAGAAGTTAATTTCAGCCTTGGACAATACACCATGGTGTTCCAGGCACAATTATTATTATCAAGACATGTGCAGATGAGACTAAAGATGGGGGCTAAAAAAAAATCAGAAAAATTTTGTTCTCTCAGTCAGGCAGCCATCAAATCACTTGACAATTACCATGCCAGCTCTGAAGTGATCTGGGACTGCCATCAATCCCTCAACAAACTGAAAACAGATCTCAAATGACATAGGCAGGCGGCAGGACATAGGGGAATTGAGGAAAATAAAACTCCTCATCATTTTGTAAGAACTGGACCTGAGCATCCATTTATAGGACCTGAACTGGCATGCATCGAAAGAGAACATAAAAATTTTGTGACTCCATATCTGAATATAAACATAAGATGGGCTTCCTTCAAGCATCATCCGTAAGAAAGACTAGGGAACTATTGGGATCAAACAGGAATGATGTAAGTTTTGTGGCTGTCACAACGGTGATTGTTCACACTGTAGTCTTTTGACTACTTATGTGTTTAAGGAACATACTGCCTCCATCTTTATGAAGTTGCTTGGTTACATAGAAAGATTACAGGGAAGGTGCTCATGACAATCAATGAGTGTGTGTACAAAAAAGAGCCAGGTTCCTTAAAAAAGGGCAGTTTTAACATATATTTCAGATTGGCTTGAACAGGGTTACTTCCTTTCTTTATCCCCCCCCCTTGAATCTCATAACCATCTTCCTTGTAACCTGCCTATATAAACAAGCCAACACACGAAGAGAAAGACTTCAACACAGAAGACAGAGGCAGCATATTTCTGTGAAATGTCAAAACAACACAATGTCACAACCCCAGTCACAATATTATGACATACAGATCCAGTGCTAGGCGATGACTTGGTGAGCACATTCCCACAGAAGCGTACACATGCAACAATAGGACAAACATTGCTATACAATGGATCAACAATAGAGAGGCTGTTTTCTATGGGGGCTATGCCGAAGGGTTATAAGGGGACACAGAAGATTATTTGAGTAAATCCTGCGAGTCATAGGAGCGACAAAAAGGGAAGTCTCAAATCTGAGACAGTAAAATATGGTCACGAGTCCCAAGGGACTCCGACCCAAGAAAGACTGTGCTGGCAAGAGCCAGCAGCATATACAAAAGACAAACCGCTCCTCTAATCAGAGAGGGCACCCACAAAAACAAGACCGTAACTGTCAAAGAGTAATAAATATCTGGTCATTAGCCCCAGATGGGGCTTGACACCAAGACTGACTGACTGACTGACTGACTGACCGTCAGTCGCAATGTGACTTTGACTTTGACATTTGAGTAAGGTGCTGTCAAGAACTGGATCAAGTTATGGAGATGGCAGTCCAAGGTGATTGAGAAGAAATGGCAAGGAAGGAATTAGGCAGAGAAAAGAAGACTTCATGTGTGATCTGAATTGACAATGAGACTGTTATAAATCTGTTGCCAGGATATGGCTATTGAAGACTGAGAACCATAGTGTGTGTGTGTGTGTGTGTGTGTAACAGTGAACTGTAGTAAAGTGTGGAAATAGTGGTAGCACTGTATTGCCTGTAGTCTCAAGTTGTGTGAATAAGGTGTCAATAAATAGGATCATTCAATCCAGAACCTGTATGATAAGTCACACACAATCCCCAACATGTGACAATATAAACAGGAAGAACTAAGGTGTGTGATGGAACTACTTAGAGGACACTGTCAGTTAAAAGGATATCTCTTCAAATATTCCCACTGATGAACTGTGCTTTAACAGTGATGAGCAGGGCCCGGATTTTGATGACCTGAAAAGTATTTAAAAAATGACCTAAAATATGACCCAAAAGTGTAATATGCAGGGCTCAGATTTTGATGACCTGAAAATATTTAAAAAATTACCTATAAAATGACCTAAAGGAGAAAGACAAAGAACACTTCGCTTCCATATTATTCACATTTCAGAAAACATATGAAGAAAAATTCCCTAAAATGGCAAAAAACTGACAGGAAATACCCTTAAAAGTCCAAAAAATTACCCCCAACATGAAAAAAATGACAAAAAATTACCTATAAAATTTACATTTCTGTAACCAGCGGTTCATATCCAAGATTTATATATTTAAGAGCATCACACAGGATACAAGGAAAAAAAAGATGACGACGTCAAAATCCGGGCCCTGGTGATGAGGCATTCTCATATGTCCTATGTGACTGATGTTCTTGTTAACTTAAAAGATGTCATAACTTGGGACTCCACTCCAAGAAGTCAAGTGGTGTACACAGCCCATTAAAAAAAGTATTGATTTGCACATCATCTAAAATGCAGGACTGCCTGATTCAGAAATAGAACAGGATACCCAGAAGATCACAAGATGGTCATGATGTAGGGCGGGTATGGCCCATACCGTTAATTGAAAATCTGTAATCTAGAGAGATCACAGGAGATTCTAGAAATGCTCCCTCTTGTTTCCTGCACATTCCTGGCATCCCATGAAAGTTTACATTCATTCAGGATTCTGATTCAGTTCAGTTTTTGTCCATTAATGATCCTGTCTATCAGTTTCTTTTTATGATTGTCTGAATACGTTTTCTATCTGGAACAGTAATGTCCTTACCTTTACTCCAGAATCTTCTCCTTACTTCCTTACACAACCAGTTCTAACCCAGGCATCATACATGAACATGTGCTGCTTCAGTGTGCACCTCACATGTAGCATTTTGATGCAAGAAGTGACATGACTGCATGAATGTTTTAGCAAAGTAGCAGGAGGTCAGAATTATGGTAAGCATCATAAGCTTGCTAAATGCTAGCTGTTCAACAATTTACTGGGGCAATAATGAAGAGAAATTGTAATACAGGCAGTTTATATCATAATTCTGCTAGCAGCCCAAATCTCAGGGGCCCAAGGTGACAGAAGACATGTCTATATCTTCTGAGTATCTCAGCAATTTTCAGGATGATCTCAAATGATTACAATGTAGAAGTGAATGTTGTACAAGGCTATTAACCATTTCCATGTTGGCTCTTACTTAAATAAACCTTACTTTCTTAGTATAATTTCGCTCTAATGGATCGTTTCTATTGTTACAGGATCACAAAATATTACCTTAAATTATTGAAATATGCTGGGAGTGTTTTTAGTGACCTTGTGGAATAACAACTAATCTTCCTAAAATACAAATCTTTCACTGTGAATGAAAGACTAAAACTTTCTCATATAATCACTTATGTCAATACTGAGTCAGAGACCAATGTGGCTGTCTCCATCATCAGGCAGCATAGTGCACCAATAGAATGGGTCAGGACATGCATGCGCACGCGCGCATGCACACACACATCAGCAATGTGTCACCATTTGCCACATCAACCCTGATGATGGAGGCACTGGAGATTTCTGAAACACTGGTTTTAAACTCAACATTGACATGGCTGATTACTCATGAAGATTTCAGGGCAACAGATAATTTTGGGTGAGATGGAACAATGTTCTTTTAAGGAAGACATCTCATGTGTAGCAAGAAGAGGATTAGCATCTGCATGAATCAGAACATATTACTTCAAAGCTTACAATAATTCTGGAAAATGAAGAGGAAAAGGGTCATAAGGTCAGTGTTAAAATTTCTGCTACTGGTAATTGAAATGTTTCCATGTCTGGGCAATCTGCATTTCTGCAATATTTTCTCTACATGTATGATGAACAGTAACTCTGAGAGACTATGTCACTATTATTATTATTATTATTATTATTGTCGCGACGCTCGTTGCGAGCAGACGTGTTTTGTGTGAGCTCCCTCTGTGCGGTGCAGTGTGTGTTTGTGTAGTGAACTCTAGCGAACAGGCTACTATGCCTGCGAGCAAAGATATTTGTGGCCTGTGTAGTAAGGGCTTCTACGGAAAGCAAAAGTTCATCAAGTGTGTAGGGCCTTGTGCTGTTAGATACCATCTCAGCTGTGTCAATATCAGTGAAGCTGAGTATAGTTGCCTTATGGTGAATGGGGAATCAACCTACAAGTGCACGTCCTGCATTAAGAATCTTAGATCCTTGAGACGTGATGATACTCCTGTGAAGACTCGGTCTGCTGCCACTGAGATCTCTGAGGCTGTTTCGCCTTTGAAAATTATCTCTCCGGACAGGGTACTGGAATTGCCTCCTATTTTTGAGGATGGCAAATATGAGGCGTCGATGGTCCTATTAGAGACGATCCGCCTTAATAGTCAGAGCGCGGTTGATATTTTAAAAACACTTTTAGACTTGGTGCACAAACTTAATGATGATGTGACTCATTTAAAACATGATAATTCCTCCTTAAAATTGGAATTAAAAAAATGTAAGGAGTTAATGGTAAATCCGCCTATGAACGTAAATTACGCTACTACAGGGTCAATGTCCTCACAGCCTGTGTCCAGGTCTATGCCTAGTGAATGTACAGTGTCTACTGGTGCTTTTCCAGTGCTTGCTAAGTCATCAGTTCCTGCTACTAGTAGTTCTGCTGATGCTGTAGTTTTGTCCTATAGGGATGTCGCGTCAGCTGGCCTGCCTTCTAAACCAGATGTGCCAACGGATTCCGAGGGATTTGTGCCTGTTGTCCGTAAAAAGAAACCTATCGCAGTCTCTGTGAATAATACAATCAAACCTAGACGTCAACCCCTTATAGGGGTACGAAACTCTGCGTCCTTGCCTATTGTTGTTAAAAAAGAAAGAACCAAAGCTCTCTTTGTTTCCAGATTCTGTCCAGAGGTTTCAGCTGCTGACGTTGAAAAGTCTTTAAAGGAGCAATTGAGCTTAAAGAAATTGATTTGCACCAGACTGAAAACTAAATTTAATACTTATTCTTCTTATCATGTTTTAGTTCTTGAAGATGAATTTCCACTTATCAATAATACTGGTGTTTGGCCTACAGGGTGCTTGATTGCCCCCTTTTACGGTAAACTTAAACCTGATCAGATGTACTCCCCCAGTACCCCTGTTACTGGTGGCCGATCAATTTCTAAGGCTTGTAGTCAGGTGGATCTAGGCAGTCCAGTCACCTCTCCGCCCTCCCGGACCATCAACAATAATGACATGATCTTAATAGGTGAGGAGGCTAGTGGAGGCAGCTACGGAAGTAATATGTAATGGCTGCCTCCCCCTTTACCCCTCATTGTGGTAGTTTACGCGTGGGCAATGGCAATTTAGAAATTTTTTATCAAAATGTAAGAGGTCTTCGCACCAAATCTACTGAAATATTTAACACTGTGTGCTCCTTTGATTATGAAATTATATGTTTAACTGAAACGTGGTTAAATGAATCTTTTTCCACTCAAGATTTTTTTCCTGGAACGTATACTGTATATCGTTCTGATAGAGACTGCATTGACAAGTTGCGTGGTGGTGGTGTTTTGACGGCTGTTTCAGACACTGTTTTCGGCATCAAACGCAGACCCGACCTTGAATTTTTTCACGAATCTGTTTGGGTTGAGGCTACATTATCTGATGGCCGTAACTTGCTCATTGGCAATCACTATTTTGCACCTGATATTAAGGTTGATATTATTAATAATTATTTCAATTTTTTAGAAAATTCTTTAGATACTTTAAATTATCGGGTACTTTTGCTTGGTGATTTTAATGTTCCTGGCTATGATTGGGATAATGGTTTTCCTTCACCAACCAGTCATTTTTATACCAAACTTCGTGGAGATGTGATTTACTCAGCCGTTTGTTATCTTGGTTTTAGTCAATATAATCATCCGGTTAATGGACTTAATTTGCTTGATCTTGTATTTTCGAATTTTGGTAACTTTTCATTGATTTCTGTTGATCAAGGACTTGTTCATCCTGACCCTTTTCACCCCCCTTTTATTATTGATTGTAAAATTCCACTTCGGCAAAGTAACCAAAATTTTAGTACTCCTTGTAAATTATATTCTGCAGGGGACTATGCATTACTTTATAATGCCCTATTCACCTATGATTGGTCTGCGCTGTACAATGAAACGTCTGTTGATGCTGCCGTTGATCAACTAAATATTGCTGTAATGCAAGCCATTAACCTAGCTGTTCCTTCTGGTTGGGTTAAGAAGCGTAAATACCCTATCTGGTTTTCTGGTAGGCTTATAGCTTATGTTAAAAGGAAGAATTATTTTTATAGACGCTACAAGAAGCACAAGACTGATCGTTTATATGATAGATTTTCTTTTTATCGGAAACTAGTAAAAAGAACAATAAAGTCCGATAAACATCTTTGGCTCTTATCTGTCGACCAAAATTTAAAATCTAATCCGCAACAATTTTGGAAGTATGTGTCTCAACATAGGAAAAAGTATAATGATTTAACTTATCTTGATGATGATGGTGTTCTTTTAAATGAACCTCACGATATTGTTGAGTCCTTTTCTAAACACTTTCAGTCGGTTTTTAATAGAAGTACTCTTGGTATTGACACACTTTCTCTTGATAAACTTTGTACGGATAATTTACCCTTAGCTTATATTTCCAATCGTGATGTACAAAACGCTATAAAACGGCTGCGACCGACGAAATCGGTTGGTACTGATGGTATACCGAATTTTGTCATTAAGGGCTGTTCTGAAATTTTAGTACCTGTACTTAGATATATCTTTAATCTTAGCCTGTCTCAGAATTCTTTCCCCAAATTGTGGAAGCAAGCAATCATTGTTCCCGTTTTTAAAAAAGGTAAAACTTCTTCAGTTAGAAATTATAGGCCTATTGCTATTCTTAACAATTTTTCTAAAGTATTTGAATTTATTATACATGACCACATTTATCAATTTTTTAAATCTAAACTTAGCCCTTTTCAGCATGGTTTTATAAAATCTAAATCTACCACTACTAATTTAGTCACTTTTCTCGACTTTGTTTCCCCCTTAGTTTGTACGCAAGGCCAAGTTGACTCTATTTATTTTGATTTTAGTAATGCATTTGATACTGTATCCCATACCTTGCTTCTTTATAAGCTCAACAATTATGGATTATCTTCTGGTTATGTAAACTGGTTACGCAGTTATTTAACAGACAGAGAGTCTTGTGTTCGTTTTTTAGGCCTATTTTCTACTCCTTTTATTGTTCTTTCTGGCGTTCCTCAAGGTTCTGTTTTAGGGCCTCTGCTTTTTAATATTTTTATTAATGATTTGCCTGAAGTCATTAATCACTCCAGTTGTTTACTTTTTGCTGATGATTTTAAAGTTTATAGAGCTATCAAAACACTTAATGACTGTCTTCTTCTACAGTCGGATATTGAACGGGTACAAGATTGGTGTTCGGTAAACTTAATGAAACCGAACCTTAGTAAAACCAATGTTATTTCCTTTTCCAGGAAAACTACTGTTTTGAAATATCAATACAGACTCGGAAATTTTTTTATTTTGCGAACTGATAGTATTAAGGATCTTGGAGTACTTATCGATTCAAAGCTTCACTTTCATCAACATGTAGATATTTTATTTTCACAAACTATGAAATTACTAGGATTAATTCGCACCATTACGTTTTCCTTCTCTACCTTAGACAGTCTTTTGATGCTGTATACTGCTTTAATCAGATCCAAACTGGAGTACGCTTCTGTTGTTTGGAATTCGATAACGAATACTGACTCCAGCAAACTTGAGCGTATACAAAGAAAATTTGCAGCTCTCTGTCATAATAGATTTTTTAAAGATATAGATTATCATTATTTTAGTATTTTGGATAAACTAAATCTGCAAACCTTGGATGTCAGACGGCGTCATATTGATGCTTTGTTTTTAATAAATGTTTTTAGAGGCACAACATATTGCTCCTCTGTCCTTGATGCGGTCGGTTTGCGGGTTCCTTCTCGGAACATTCGAAATTTTTCTACATTTAGCTGTTCTTTCAGTCGCTGTCCCACAGCTAGATGTGTTGTTGCTGCAAATTTTGTTTGCGAACTTGTAGACATTTTTAGTAAATCTAGTTTAAGTTTGAATTGTTTAGTTTGATAATTTTTGTACTTTTGGTTGTTTTTTACTATTTGCACTGTCTTTTTAACTTGTCACTGGCTTTTGAGCTAAGTATGCAATTAGTTTTTTGCTGTAAATTGTTTTAATTTTCCAAATACTTAACGTTTTTGACCTGTTATTATCTATGTGTGTATTGTCTTGATTTTTATCATTGTCTGTTGTTTGTTGTTTTATATTTTCCGTGCTGACTCTGTAATTGGCCTCCGCTGTTGAGCTCGGCACGTAAATAAATAAAGCATTGAATTGAATTGAATTGAATTATTATAATTATTATTATTATTATTGGAGGGGGTGGGTTTCCCCATGCACCGCGACCAGTTGTTGATCTACTGTACGTCCCCCTTTGATATTCTACCAGTCCCCATACCCTGCTGGTACTGGTGCGTGCTATCAGCCCCGTTGAACCAACGAGGTCGGCCCTCAGTACCTTGATGCTTCCCCCATCTACCACAGGCATTGGAAACTACTTGGGTGGGAAACTTGCCTGATTTTGCTCAGAGGTCTCCTAGAGACATGAGGATCTTTTACGTGCCGTAAATCTACGACACGGGACCCACGACTTAAAGTCCCTCCCGGAGGACTTGTTCCCTGAATTTTTCCGCCCTTAAAAATTCCATGACCTCCGCCGGGTTTGAACCCGCGTACCTTGAGTCATGAGGTGGGAGACTATATCACTAACTCATACCTCTGTCAATTTCTTTCCAAGCAGATTCCTAACTCTGTTCTTGTTGGTATTAAGTTGTGTCAAACTTTCATGCACTGATGTGATTAGTTGATTGGAGATATCTTCTATAAAAATATTTTTTGCCTATTAAAATTTCAAAACCATACATTTTTTAATCTATAAAGGGCTGGTGGATTTCTCATGATTTTCCTTTACATCAACTCTTCTAATATTCTCTCATACTGCTCAATCGCTGGGGCTTCAAAGACCTGCACTCTGTCGTTTGTCAGCATGCAAAGAAATTGCTCTGGCTGAAGGGATTTTCATACTTATCTTTTGGTTAATGGGTCAAGTATTTCAGTTGATACAAATGTAATTTAATACGAATCTCAAAACCGATACTTGGCCTTTAACTGCGCCTATTTCTTTTTGCTACATATAATGATCAGCACAGCTTCCATACAGGTCTCACCTAGTGTGACCTAGGGATTGCAGCAGGACAGTGAGTTTTAAGTGAAATATCCATCACAAGATCTTTTGCAGAAATCATCTGTTCTTTTCAGATTTTAACAGTGTAATATTGTGTTTGCTTATTTTTAACACTAATGACATATATTTTATATCCAACATTTAATAACCTACCACTTAATTGGTACAGCGACTGGCTACAGGCTGGACAACCAAGGGGTTGGGATTTGAGTCCCAGTAGGGTCAACAATTTTCTTTTCTCCAAATCATCCAGACTGGCTCTGGGATCCACCAAACCTCCTATCCAATGTATACCAGGGGCTCTTTCCCCAGGGATAAAGAGGATGGGGTGTGAGCTGACCACTCACCTCCAGCTAGTTCCAAGGTCAAAAAAATGTGGACCTATACATCCACTCCCCCACATGCCTTCATGTCATAGTGCTTAAGTCATTAAGCACAGGGACAAATTTACTTTACCACTTCTATAATTTCCTTCATTTTTATACCCCTTTTGGCACATAAGTATCACAATGAATCTGTGTGAACTTTCTGTGAGTGTGCCACAATAAGCCTAACGGACTGTACTCACGAACAGTGAAATCCACAGAAAATATCTGTATAATGAAACCATCTGACAGACCATACAACAGAAATATTGCCAAATGAGTTGTGCACCATATGAACACTGTCAAATATGTGAGACAGGGCAGCTGTCAGTATAGTGACTAGGCCAAAGAATGGAAAACTAAAGACTCAAGAGCTCCAGTCCCACCAAAGATATGAGACTCGCTCTTGAGATCCACCCAACTCCTCCTATGCAGTAGGGGTCTGAAGGTGATGACACCTCCATCCAATGCTGGGATTAAAAGTGGTGGAGCTGTATCTCCATCCTTCCATACATCTTCATGACATGAAGCTTAATTATGAACTTAAGGACAGGGGCAATTTTACCTTAAACACATTGTAAAATAACTTAATACTCTCAATACATACACTCCAATTGAAGTAAAGATGTGTCAGCTTGTAGGTGAGTCTCTGAAGCTTGTCAGGTTCCAGCTGTAAATTGTCGCTGATCACATTGTATGATGTTGGGCTCACAGTGCCCTGTTGTACGGACTGTGACACCAGGAAGAAGTCATACCTGCATATGGATGACAAAGGTATTAAATTTTTTTTCTTGGTATCCACAGCATCACATGCCTATATTCAGGGTAGAATGGTGAAATACTCTTATGAACACAATAACTGAAACTGCAAACTAGACAGACAGGTAACAGTGAAACCTGTCAAGTTGACAATCACAGCAGCTAAGTCACCTGTCATATGTCCAATCCTCTGTAAGTCTACTACCTGTCTATCTTGTATCTCATCCACCTTCCAGCATATCATGCTAAGTTCTATACATTGACACGCCATAGCTCAAGCGGTTAGTTGCTGGCTTCCCACTGTGGCGGTCCAGGTTTGACCCGGGGTCTCGTCAAGTGGGATTTGTGGTGGACAAAGTGGCGCTGGGGCAGGTTTTCTCTGAGTACTTCAGTTTCCCCTTCCAATCTTCATTCCACCAATTGCTCCACAATCACCCTCGCCTATCATCTGGGGCTGGTACAATGGGCCAGAAGTGGCCGCAGTATAAGGGACTTAGTCCCACCCCACTAGCAATAAAAAAAAAAGTTCTGTACATCACTCACTCATGGAGCTGAGCCCTTCTTGAGAAGCCACTACTTGTACAGCTACTCAAGAACTTCCCAGCATTTTATAGAACCTGAAGGTTCATTATTGTTTCACAAGAGCCTCCTACTGGTCCCTATTCAGAGCCGGTTGAAACCAATCCATACCATCCCATCCTCTCTCTCTAAGATCCATTCTAATATTCTCTACCCACCTATGCCTTGGTCTTCCCAGTGGTCTCTTTTCTTCTGGCTTTCCCACTAATATCCTATAAGCATTCCTCGTCTCCCTCATTCATGCTACGTGCCCAGCCCACTTCATCCTCCTTGACTTGATCATTCTAATTATACTTGCAGAAGAGTACGAGTCATGAAGCTCCTCATTATGTAGTTGTCTCCGACCTCATGTCACTTTATCTCTCTTTGGTCCAAACATTCTCCTCAACACCCTCAGTCTATGTTCCGCCTTTAATGTCAGAGACCAAGTGTCACACCCATACAGAACCACAGGCAAAATTATAGTTTTGTATATTCTTATTTTTATGTTTTTGGACAGCAGATGAGAAGACAAAAGGTTCTGGGCTGCACGGTAGCATTACCTGAGTTCAGTCTCCTCTTAATTTTCTCCTGAATCAGGTTTTGATTTCTTATCGTTGTTCCCAAATATCTGAACTAGTGCCAAAATTTCAAAACATTTGTTACCTATCTTTATGTTATGATTTTGCCCTGCATTTTGTTGATGAGACAGCAACATACCTGTATACTTATTTTTGTCTGTGTTTACGTCTAGAACAATCTAGACCTACCTTTGGAGATAGGGACTACCTCTATCAATTGGGCCCAAATGTGTTTTGAAAAATAATCATGGCGTTTTTTAGATAAAGACAAGATGATGGATAGTGTCCAAAAACATAATATTTGTACTAATGTACCATCGTCACAAACTTTTAGATCTAATGTTATATGGAGAATGCCGTCTTCTGGGAAGTGGTGCCGTGTAAATATTTTGTTAACCAACGTTTTAGAAGAATGTATCGCCTCCATCTTCAGGGTATAAGAAATCCGCGAGCGATAAACCAGTGTGACCAGTCTGTAGACCGTTAACCGACGTTTTGGAGGAACGTGTTGTGACAGTCCAAACCTTTTAAAATTCTTCAATGGATGCTATGTTCCTCTTTAGCCATTTCAATAGAATGACTGATTTATTGGGGAGACCGATCCATTAGCTGGTAATGACTTGTTTTTCGCATTTGGACAGGAACAACTGCCTTGTTTTGTTACCTGCGGCTTGGGTGACCGCAAAAAGGATGCCGCCATCAAAAGGCAAGTCTGTAGTTTGCCGAAGATGTAAATTTTGTTTTGCTAATAGGGTAGCTGTTATAAATGTGTCTTCGGAAGGGTGTAATTGGACCCTAAACTAAGAAATAACCGCTTTTACATGTAGGGTTCCGGGTTCAATATCTTTGGATCTCTTTATTCTCAAAGTTAGTAATGTGATTGTCTAGTGCTGATGGTATGATGAATTGGCAGTTAAAATCAGCCATTAGGAAACTATTCTTGTCTGGGAGAAAGGCTGTCGGTTCAAATCCTATGCAGTGGATGAAGTGACGCTCCTGCAGGATAGAGTGGGCAGAAGGACTTGGCATTTAGAATTCATCAGAGGCAGACGTCATTGGGCTGCACTCTCCAAGTTTATCTAAATTTAACATTCTTCATTTGGTTCGATTAATCTTTGTTAATAATAAAAAGGGCACATTACTCCGTACTTGCTAATAAAGTTATAGTGTTTGCTTCTGAAATAAACAATTTGTGATTAAGCAGAAAATACTGTCTTTGATTCCTAGCAGTGGACTGGTTTCAAATGTGCAGTTCTCCCGTTGCCTCAGTTATTACCGTGACACAACCCTGAGAAGAGTCAAGTGTTCTACCGAAGCGGGCAAATAATAAATAAATAAATAAATAAATATAAAGATAGATAGGGGACGGTCACAGGAAGTGGCGCCCAACGGTTACAAGAAGTGTAAGCCAAAGAGTGGTTACAGTATCGCCTCCATCTTCAGGGTATAAGAACCAGTGTGTGCAGGTATCTGTATCCACACAGCGCCGCATCCCAGATGATGACTTTCTTCATAGTCACTGCCTTGAAAACCTCAAATCTTACATAATTTTACGTGGTCTTCAACAAGAACCCAGACCAACACACTTCATAAAATATATGTCACATTTGTCACAGTAAATAATATGAGGTTGGGGTAACCAAAGTCAGAAGTCTCATAACAAACTGTGTGAAATTTAATTATAAAATTCAAAGCAATGGACACACTCTTGCATATAGAGAGCAAAGGTATGCAATGAAGCTACTTGCATCCCTTAACATAAAGTAATGGAACTTCATGGAAATAATTAACTAATCCATTATAATATAAATTTATTTTTGTCAAGTTTTAAAAATTACAATTTATATTTGGAAAACTGAAAATTAAATATCTTGAAAACTATAAGAGCTAGCTGCATACAGTAAGCGAGCTGTCCCTCATCCCTCAAGCTGTAACACATAAAAACTGTAATACGTTAGCAAGGATCACTGTAAAGCAATGAGGAAAAAACTTTTCCTTGGTGTTTCCAAAACTTCCGGGGGTACTTTCAAGTATCCATAACCTCTCCAAAGTGGGGTATTCTACCATCATGCCATATTTAGTCAAAACGAGTACAAAAGCGTGAAAATGTATAAAGAATGAATAAACAGATTCACCCTCTTCTTTATACATACATAAGATTTGTTGCATTTGATGGTTGTAATAAGTGATATATAACCTGCAAAATAACATATTGCACAAGGAAGTAAACATGAAAAATTGTCTATATGTCTTACAGAATGTTAGTGTGGGAAGACAATGAATTTCTTGTGGGTTATTTACAACACAGCTGATATGTCCTGTGTCGCTGAATGATGGTAACATGGGTGAAGAAGTGTAGATGAGGAAGCAGCTGGTCATGACCTAATAAAAGTACTATCCCAGCATGTGCCAGTGAGTGTTGCAGACATGACTGGAACTGTGCAACGCCAGAATAGAAACGAAGATCACTACCAATACACCAACTACCTGATAAATGATAAGGACAGCTTCAAATTGGTGGAAGGGCAGATGGATGGATAGTAGCATAATGAAATTAGAATGAACTGGCTCATGACAAGTTCCTGTGCTTGGCACTTGCTGCTGCAGTGAAAATTTTGAACATGCCAAAGTACCTTAGCCTTATGCTTACCGTTCAGGGAGGGTGATGACATCATCAACCACTGTGCCTGGGGGTGGGTTGTTCCCATCACAGAAGAGTCTTGTGTTTATGCGCTTCGTCACAATGATGAACGCCATCTTGTAGACTTTCCCCCCATACATCTGTTCAAGATTCATCTGAAAATCACAACATAGTGAGCACATCAACAGTTTAATTAGTGCATTTCAGGAACTAAACCCTCCATTTCCAAAATGTTGTGTATGGGTATGCAACTTGGTCTCTCACGTTAAGGGAAAGCACAGAGCAGGGGTGGACAAACTTACTGAACACTGGAGCTACATATAAGTGTCTGAAATTCAGGCTTATAAACAGATTTGAACATCATGGCATCCATGTTTAAGTACATGCTTTCAACACAGCATCTTTTTTACCTTTAATTCGTTTACAAAAAGGTGATTGAATAATATTTTGTGAGCCATACTAATGGCTGGAAACCAAGACTGGACATATACTGAGTGTTCAGATTTTGGAGGAACATGCTGTGTGCATCTTCAGGCCCAAAGTAAAGTAAGTTCTTCCAGCCTGATCTATTACCACTGTTACATTGACTGAGTGTGGGGAGAAGGCAAGTCACATCCTGCTGGAGTGGGGGGGGGTGCACGTGCACACACATGCATTGCCCCCACATTTTTCAATCACCCCCTTCTCTTCATGTCCCTTGTAGCACCAAGTCCACTTGCCAGGGCACAGGACCATCTAGAAATATTGTATATATGAGGCCACTAGCCTGAAGACAGTCTGGACTTTGAAGTGTCATGCAGGGTTTGTATGTGGTGGAACAGCAATGAAAAGCAAACAGTGAGTTATGTGCTCAGTGAATTAATATTAAACTAAAACAAGCCGATAGCAAGACTGTAAGTGGCAAGTGGTAAACAACTGCAAAAAATCACAGTGAACATATGTACTGTGACATGTAAATCCACTGCTACATAATGCTTGCAACACACACACACACACACAAGGTCCAAAATGCAACAACAGGGTTATGCAACACGCTTCTAGGCTATGGCTTGGTAAACACACTTCTGCACAGGTGCAATGACATCACCACAACAGTAGGAAGCTGTTGCAGTTGAGAGTACAAGGATGTGAATGGAGCATGTCCTTAGTGAAGTGTGAAGATTAGTTTAGTAAAGACTAGGACAGAGGAGAACAGAGTGACTGAATATGAAATAGCAAGGAGACTTCATAGTGATTTGAAGTGGTAGTTTCTGTGTTGAGATCCACTGCCAGGAGACGACAAGTGAAGGAAAATCCTAGTGCATGTGCAACGGTAAACTGAAAGTGTGTAGAATAGCGATAGTGTTATAATTGAATGTGATTAAGAGAACTTTTAACCGAAGTGCCAAGAAATCAAATCATCCTACCTAGAACCCGTTATTTTCATCATTTGTATCCCCCCTATGTGTGACAATATGAAATTTTAATGGGTAGCATAAACAGCAGAATGTGCCCTTGGAGATGACCTAAGGACGTGAAACATATCAGGAATACTACTGTGTATCCATTTTATTCTGATGGTTTAAAGCAAGGGTCTGCAAACTACGGCCCATGGGCCACATCCGGCCCGCGAAAGAATTGTGCAGAAATGCGCCAATGGAACTAATTTTCCAATGATACTGGTAAATGTGATTCCGAGCTTATTGACCTGACATATTATACTGCAGTTCGATGGCTTAGCTGTCGAAAGGTTCTTTCGCTCTTCTTTAAGCTCAGGAATGAAACTGATATATTTCTTACCAAGAAAAACCATCACAAACCACTTTTATCAGATACCGAGTGGCTTTGAAAATTAGCATTTTTTGCTGATCTGGTGAACCATATGAACCATTTAAATTTAAAGTTGCAGGGTGAAAATAACTTAGTCTGTGATTTATTTGCACTTATCAAGGCATTCAGAGCAAAGTTGATACTTCTGGAAAGCCAAGTGAAAAATTGTAACTTTGTTCATATGCTATACTGTGCAGAGTTGCACAAAAAGGGTGAAGCAGAATTTCCTTCCTCGTTTGCAAATTTAGTCATTGCAGATTTGAAAGAACAATTTCAGAAGCGATTTGCTGATTTGGATTCCAATGCTCAGGAAATTAGATTGTTTCCAAATCCGTTTGACTGTGATGCTGCAGATGTCCCAAGTCAAATTCAAATGGAAATTACTGAACTTCAGGAAAATTATCATATTAAAGACAAATACAAGGAAGGAAATTTGATCGAATTTTATAAATTTCTGAACTCTGAGCAATTTCCAAATTTAAAGAAATTTGCTTGTAAATTTATCTCCATTTTTGGGACGACATATCTGTGTGAACAAACTTTTTCCCAGATGACGTACATCAAGTCGAAATACAGGGCAAATTTACCCAATGAACATTTAAAGTCGCTACTTGTGATTAGCGTTTCAAAATTTGAACCTCAATTTAATCAGATTTTAAGAATGCAAAAAGAGTTCCATCATTCACATTAATTGTTTTATTATAATTTGTGATGAAAATATGAGCATTTGCTGCTACTGTCTGTTGTCATTAATATACGATAATTTATTCTCACGTACTTTGTATTTAGTTTATGAAATTCTGTACTTTCAATAAAACTCATATACCTAGAGTTATTAATTTCTCATTTTATCTGGCCCGTTGAAAGTGCTGAATTACCTAATGTGGCCGCGGTTCGTAAAGTTTGGAGACCCCTTGTTTAAAGGATCAATTAGGAAAGAAATTATACAAAACAAAATTGAGCCTGTGACATTTCATAACACAAATACTTGAATGACAGTTGCATCATACCTTCAGTGTACCAACTTCATGTTCATAAACATAGGGGATCTGCCCCTCTCCCACACCATCTCGATAGATCACAATCCTCTGTGGAAGGCATCCCTGGTTGTGTTCTATATATTTACGTAAAGCTCCTGTGAACATGCAGACCACAAGTAGCTCATTAACCTTCTAATGTCTGAAGTACACTGATCGATACACTGATAAGTATGGTTGTCATAGCCAAAGTACCAGATCTGTCCATTTGAGCATTTAAACGCTGCTAGTGGAAGCTCGTGCACACGCCTCTAGTAGAAGCACATGCAAAATCCTAAATATTTATTTTTAAATTTGAAACAACTACCAGGCAATGACTGGTGAAGACAAAGCAGACTGAGAAGACTTAGTGCATGCTGTAGTCAACTGCAGAGTGTATGAATTAGTGACTGTGCTATAGTTATTTGTAGTTACAAACTGTTAAGTGTTCAGCAAATTCAAACCATTCTGAACCCTGTCTGTAGTCACTCATACATGTGATGATATAAATGCATTATGTGGACATAATGTAGTTTCTAATTCCTACAGTAGATGGTACATACAGCAACCACTATGCATTACGGAATTAAAGACAATGGCTGTCAAAAGTGTGACATATTGATCACAAACATAATCAAATGATTTCTTAGGTTACTGACAATCCTGTCTTTGCTAATGGCAAACAGCATCAGATGAGGGAGGGTTGTGGGATTTAAGGTTCTCACAGCCATGAATACAAAGATTATGGCCTGCGACATCTGGTAGTAAACAACTGCTTCAGACTAGTTATGACTGCCTCTGTGGTCTAGTGGTCTAGTGGTCAGAATTCCTGCCTACAGATCCAGAGGTCTGGTTCGATTCCCGGTACTACATTTTTTTTTTCTGAGAAGTAGCAGGTCTGGAACGGTGTCCACTCAGCCTCATGAGGATAACTGAGGAGCTATTTCAAGGAAATAGTGGCTCCGGTCTAGAAAACCGAATATAACAGCCATGGGGATTCGTTGCACTGACCACATGACACCCTCTATCCGCTAAAGTTGGCACTAACTCGCTGACAAGCGGCAGTCGCTCGGTCGGTATAGTTCGCTTGCAGACTTCAGGCCACGGAGTTCATTTATTTTTTGTTTATTTCAAGCTAGCTAAATGATACAGAAATTTTTCCTCCCTGCCATCTGTGAATGACAACTGAAAGCCATAAAGAGATATTAAAAGTGTTATATCAAATAATCTAATACAATAATACATAAATTAAAAATAAACATTATACCCACTATTGAACAAATAAATCTGTTCCAAATTAAACAAAAAATTATCCAAATTAAAGGACAAAATAAACTTTATAATTTACTAACAACAGGCAATAACAAGCAGGGAAAATGTGACACATGACTGAACACTATAAGAAATACGAACACCCACATAACCTAAATTTAATTTTAACTCTCAATAATTTTATTAATGTATACAGGAGAACTCTGTTACTAAAAGTAATACAGTGGAACCTCGCTTAACGAGGGACGTTTCGCATAACGAATGACGAGAGGGGAAGTCCAGGATTGTGCACTTGCTACATCAGTCTGTGTTTAGTACTCGTTCCGCTATCATCTTAGTGTCGCTTGTGATCACACATTTTTCCAAACTTGTGTTCAGACACATTATTTGTGATTTTTTTTGGTGCAAAGTTTAATAACCCTTGCAAAAATGTCCCCGAAGAAAAAGCTGCAAAAAGACGGCCATAAGAGAAAAAAATTACCATAGAAATGAAACGTAAAATCATTGAAAAGTGAGAACGAGGTGTGAGCATGGCTGATCTAGCGCACACATACTCGGTCTACATCAACGATTTGGAGTTGCATTGTGTTTCACAGCAAGAAGTTGTGGAGGAGAGTTTGTCAGAGGAGGAGGAGGAGGTAACAGCAAAGCAACAATCTTTTGGCGCAATAAGAGAAATGCTGAAAGCATGGGAAACTGTTGCATTGTACATTGAGAAGCATCACCCTTATAAGGCAGTGGCTATGCACGCTACAAATTTATTTAATGATAATGCTGTCGCATTTTCACCAAATTTTGAAGCGTCGGCAAACACAAATGTCTCTAGACAGCTATCATCATCATCATCATCATCATCATCATCATCATCATCTTCTTCTTCTTCTACTTCTTCTTCTATGGCGCAACAGCCTGATGTCAGGCCTTGGCCTCCCTTATCAAGCCCCTCCATTCCTCTCTATCCTGCGCTGCTCTCTTCCAGTTCCTTACGCCCATTAACTTCTTTGCACCTTCTTCCACCGCATCAATCCATCTAGTTCTTGGTTTCCCCGCACGTCTCCTACCACCTATTGTACTGTATAATATTTTCTTTGGGATACGCTCCTTATCCATTCTCTGTACATGCCCAGCCCATTGCAATCTTTTAAGCTTTATCGTCACTTGAGATCTCTGGCTCCTTATATAATTTGTATAACTCTTTATTATATCTTATTCTCCATATCCCATTCTCTTTTATTGGTCCATAAATTTGTCTTAGGATTTTCCTCTCGAAAGAACTGATGACTGATTCCTCTTTCTTGTTTAGCGTCCAACCCTCACATCCATAATAAAGCACCTGTCTTATCATTGTTTTATATATTTTTGTTTTAATCACTCGGTGTATATCCTTTGATCTAAAAACTGATAGTAACGAGAAATATGCATTATTCGCTAGTTTTATTCTTCTTATTATTTCATGATTTTCCTCTCCATCTTTGTGGAATTTCGATCCTAAATATATGAAGTCTTCAACTATTTCTATCCCGTCCCCTTCCATGTTAATTTCTCCAGTTTGCCTTGGATTCCTTCTAGATTGTATCAGCATTTTAGTTTTATTTACATTCACCTCTATGCCAGTTGTTTTTGCTATGGTTTTTATTTCTTTATATGTCTCCTTCATTGCTCTTAGGGATAGATACTATAATAATATCATCCGCATATGCCATTATTTGTGTTTGTTTATACGCTATTGTGTTCCTTGGGTCTAAGACAGCTTTCTAGTAAAAAAGAACTAGATATGTATCATAAATAATAAACTAATTGTTTCTATTTTCTTTTTGTTTTCAGCAAATCAAATTCGAATTCCAGGTTGGTTCATTCCGCACTGAAGAAAAGATGAAGGTGATTCACGCTCCTTAACAATGTATATATAATTTTCTTTGAATAAACGTTATACATAAAATGTTTTGAGTATTTTTTCCGGCATGGAATGCATTATCGTATTTTACATTAATTTACATGGAAAAAATTGTTTCACTTAACGAGTGTTTCGCATTACGAGTAAGATTCTGGAATGAATTATGCTCATTAAGCGAGGTGCCACTGTATTAGTATTAATACCTGTAATGAGATACTGATACATACCATGGGGGGGGGCACCTTGACTTTTTAATATCAATTACACTGATATGTGGCAGTCACTAGAGAATGCAAAAAATTAATATACTGATGACCTTGACATGGAAATATGTGGTAAACAAATAGTTTGCTTATGCAATGTTAGAAAATTCTTATTGAAATGAAAATATGGTACCAGGAATAACTGAAAACCCTTAATGGACGAGACACGGTATTTTTGACTATGAAGCACTGCTACCTTTCACAAGTTTCCCCTTACATTTCCACACAATGGGTTACACTGCAGTTCTGTACTCACCGCAGAAGTTGGCTGACAATTTATTGGTGAGTTCCTCACTTGTACGGTAGATGCTCACTGCTGAGAAATATTGACTCATTGGTTTGTTTAATGAGGCCACCAGTACACTAATTGACGTCCCTTGCGTGGTATCATTACATACATCCATCCCTACTACCATCAAACCCTGCAGGATACACAATAAACATTACATTGTGGTAAATATAATCAAGAAACAAAGGCATATTCAAGTAAGAATGAAACACGCACAAAAGTTCTATGATGGGTCAGGTTACGTCATACTGCATGCAACTTCAAGGTCCAAGAGTACACCAAGAAAGCGCAGGAATATTGCATATATATAATTAGCTTCATGAGAAAAGTGTGCACAATTTTGTCAAAAAGTTATCACAATGACACAGCAACAAATGATATAAAATAATCTCTTGGGTGTGGGAAGGGATTTTCATTTCCCTCTTTAGTGACAAAATAACCACCATGATAATTCCATTGTACAACTTGCATAAATAAATCTGACATGATACAGAACACAAAACTAACACTACAGTACTACACAATGAGCTGTTCTGTTAGCTCTGCCCAGAAGCCATAGCCGGTACATTCCATCTTGTATCTGTTTCTATGACATCTCATTTCCTTTCTCATGGTTTATGACATGGTACCCTCATGTGCTTCCCTTGGACCAATCTCTTTCTTTTGGCCTTCTGGGAATGGGGTAGTAGGTACTTGTTTTTTCTCTGGACCCTGTCTCTTTCCTGGGCATGTGGTGCAAAAACATGTGAAACTCTCTTGGTCTGAGTGTGACTGAGGTGGCATCATAATTTTCAAAATTCAAGTTTTGGACTTGTATTGGTTGGACATGTCATGAGCTGGTGGTCTTTGTCACATGGCTGAATCATGGTACCAGTAATACTGTATCGGTTTATTTATAATGTGTGGCAAAGTAAGTTTTTTTATACATATTTCTTGTACACATGAATAGCGTCATGTTGTTCCATTCTTGGACATGGTGCCCTCAACTGCATTAATGTGTCAGTTCTGTGAAGTCTGTGTTACATAACGTTGGCCTGCTTTCTGTTGTGATTTTTCCTTTCAGATAATTAGCACTGCTAAAGGTTTGGGGGTGCTAGCATGAGGCTGCAAATTTGTGGCAAACAAGATGCTTGCATTCTATACTTACATGCATATCATACATCACTTTTGTTTTCCACTTATTATTTATGTTCTTATGTTTAGGCACACCTTTAAACATGTTTCTTGTTTAATTATGATTTTGTTATTTATTAAATATAATATTACTTCTATTCTATCTGGTCCATATACCTAGTTTGAGTTCCTTGTCACTATTCTGTAGCAGTTGCAATGGATAATAAACTGAGTTGTACATCTCTTTTTGTCCTCTAAGCTTGCCTTCAGACATCCTGCCCATCTGGGGAGAACTTGTAAATGACCATCCAGAATCAGAGATGGCAAAGTGTTCCTTTTGTTATGTTGGTTGAACAAACAAAGCACCACTTTTATTAGTCAGTCTACTCTTAATCATAGGCAGTTAACCTGAGTTAGATATGCAAATTGCCGGAAAGTCCTCTTCTTTATGTTATGCCAATGCTCTAAAAGAATGCACTGTGCCATTCACTGCCTATAATACTCCATTGGCAACTCCAGAGAAATTCGAATTTTGGTTCTGCATGAAATGCATTTTACCAATATGGAAATTAGAGACAAACTGCGTGCGTGTCTGTATATACGAGTATATGTATCTATGTATGTATGCATGCACGTACATACATAAATGGGGCATTGAGTCAGATATTGGATTTATTGACCACTTTAACACACAACTTGTAATTCCACTTAATTATAGCACCATCGCTAATTTTGCCACACTTAATAAATCGCTAGCACACACGGTATGTCATTTCCAGCCTGGAGTGTCTTCACTAGTAGCTGCCTGACAACAGCTTCTAATAATGGCTATTCCTCTGTTTCTTGGCTCAACTTCTCTCTAAATGGCGACTCCCAACTGCCTTCTCTTCATAGACTAAATGACTTTCAACTGACTTAGCTCCCAAGCTTGGAGCCATTTTTCACCAACCTCCTACTTTCTCTTCACTGCGTGATATTCCACTGAGCACTCTTGCAACTTCAACTGTCTCTTCTCTTCACTAGTTATTTCCTGGTAAGGGATTTTAACACTGTCCTCTGCTTACATCCTTACTGTCTGGCACACATCCCAATTTGAACTAAGCTCAATTTCATCCCACTTACAACTCTTTGGCATGGATCCACATAGAAGACACAGTTTCCAGCAGTACCTCTACTGTTGTATGTCGATTTGTTGCTGTGCAGATGTCACTCAAATGGTTTCTGTGGGAATGTATTTTGTTTGCAAAGCATTTTACTCAGTAACAGTTCAGGTGTATTTGCTTACCTTGCTGCTGCTGCTGCGTAGTAATGGCTCTACACACTACAATATATTTGGTATTTAAGAGTTCACCTGCCACAGGTCAGTGCCTGATGCATATAAACATTCTAGCTCCAAGAATAGGGGCCCGTCAGAAAGGCCTCAGAAATCAAAATGAGGTTCATTTTGAAAAGAGCAAGAATGGTTTTGATTACATTTCAGTAATCTAGGAACACAGTTTCCCTAAATGAAACTGCACAGGTGGTATCGTAAACAAATAACTGCATGCACACCAGGGGCACAAACTAGTAGTGTCAGTTTTGTCAATACTTGCTTTGTTGGTCAGATTTCATTGTTGTTCAGCATTCTGTAGCTAATGATGACCTACTGAACAACAATCAAATTCATTTCAAAGAAAATTTAACACAGTTGGCTGTATGTGAGAAAGTATGTGCAATGTCTTTGCACTGACTGCCTTTCCAGAAAGATTATGTAAGTGTAGTGAGTATGAGTACCTGTCACAAACCTTTCAATAACACTTCACATTAAACTGAGAGTTTTTACTTGCCCATAGCTAAATACAAGCCTATTCATAACTGAAAGAAGCTCTGACAGGACGTTATTGCCTACTTTCCTTACACTACAAACTGAATATTTAATATGGANTTCCTGCATCTACCAATAGGCACATCATAAAATAATCAAGAAGCTCTGACAGGACATTATTGCCTACTTTCCTTACACTACAAACTGAATATTTAATATGGAAATTTGAGAGGCTGTAGTGTTGGTCTTACTGATTAAAGGGATTTATTAAGGAAGCCAATGAAATGGCTTCAGGCAGCAATATGAGGGGGTACCCACAAGAAACNAAATTTGAGAGGCTGTTGTGTTGCTATTACTGATCAAAGGGATTTATTAAGGAAGCCAATGAAATGGCTTCAGGCAGCAATATATGCAATGTATACCAAGTTTCATGTCGATCAGTTCAGGCATTCAAATAATATGAGTGAGAGTCAGTAAATATGTCACAAATGGAAGAAAGACAGCTGTAATGGATGCGATAGGTTTTCCATGTGTATCACTAGATAGCAGCACAGTCTAGATTCATGACAGTCTAGGTAGTAGATGTGCATGCACATGTTCAGAGGCTGGTTTCAGTAGTCCAAATGGAGACCATGCTTGAGGTGTGCTACTGAAGAGCAGCGTTCTGTTGTGAATTTTTTGTGGGCAAAAAGGACTCAATACAATGCCATTCATAAGGAAATGTTTCCTGTTTTACACTGGGAAGTGTTTGTTGCATACAGCAGTTCACAGCTGGGTGGAAAACGTTTCGTTAAGGGTGAAGAGGGTGAAATGGAAAAGTGGGAGTGGCTGAGACAGCAGTCAAAAGACTTCAATGCTTCACAGCATTGGTAAAGTGATGGGACAAGTGTATCAGTGTTGGTGGATATGTCAGAGATGAATGTTTTTTCCAGGTTTGAATATCATGTTTTATGTTTTAAAACCATTTGTGACTCTCCCTCATATTAAGGGTAATATCCCAACAATTTGAGAGGTTATAGTATTGGTATTACTGACGAGGGATTTATGAAGTTGAGATGGGCTAGGTGGTATGATATACATACCAAGTTTCATGAAGACTGGTGTAGGAATTCAAGCAATATTAAGGTTTAGCGTCAGCAATTTGAAAGGCTATAATGTTGGGATTTATGAAGTGGGTCTTGAGATGGCTTCATGTGGCACAATATACGAGACTCGTCCACAAAGTAAGTTTCCCTGGGGCCGTTTACAGAAACAAAACACAATTTCATGGAAACATTTATTGCAACAGATACAGCAAGTGTTCAGCTATTTTTCAACATAATCGCCACCAGAACTGAGACATCTGTCATACCATGAGACCAACTTTTGAATACCTGTGTCACAGAAGTCTGCCGCCTGGGATTGGAGCCACTGTCTGATAACCATCTCCGAGACTCTGTCATTCTCAAAACGCTGACGCTCACTGGACAGGAATTTCTTGAGGTGTGGGAAAAGATGGAAATCACTGGGAGTGAGGTCCAGGCTGTAGGGTGGAAGATTAAACACCTCCCAGCTGAACTCCTGCAGGAGACTTGCTGTCTGNCGGTGGATGCTTAAACACCTCCCGACTGAACTCCTGCAGGAGACTTGCTGTCCGTCGAGTCATGTGCGGCCTAGCGTTATCGTGCAGGAAGACAGTACTGGCACTAAGCATCCCGCGCCGCTTGTTCTGAATGGCCCATCACAATTTCTGCAGTGTTTCACAGTAACGCTCAGCATTCACCGTCTCACCTCTGGTCAGGAAGTCGACGTGGAGAACGCACCGTCTGTCCCAGAATACCGTGCACATCACGTTCCGCGCCGACAACATCTGCTTGAATTTCGTCCTACAGGGAGATCCACTGTAATGCCAATGCATTGACTGCTGCTTGGTNGAAGACAGTACTGGCACTAAGCATCCTGCGCCGCTTGTTCTGAATGGCCCATCGCAATTTCTGCAGTGTTTCACAGTAACGCTCAGCATTCACCGTCTCACCTCTGGTCAGGAAGTTGACGTGGAGAATGCCCCGTCTGTCCCAGAATACCGTGCACATCACGTTCCGCGCCGACAACATCTGCTTGAATTTCGTCCTACAGGGAGATCCACTGTAATGCCAATGCATTGACTGCTGCTTGGTTTCTGGGGTAATGTGTGCAATCCACGTTTCATCACCTGTGATGATCCGCTCCAGAAACTCGTCGCCGTCATCATGGTACCACTGCAGAAAGGTCAATGCCGACTCCAAGCGTTTTGTTTTGTGTTCTGGTGTCAGTTGCTTCGGCACCCACCTGGTGCACAATTTCCTGAACAACAGGTGCTCCATGACAATTTCGTGCAACAAGGAGCGGGAAATCTGCGGGACATGACTGCTGAGTTCTGCAATTGTGACGCGATGATTCTCCATAATGTGTTCCCACACAAGCTCCTCCAGGTCGTCTGGAATGATGGAAGGCCGCCCACTGCACTTCTCATCATGCACACTTTGTCGACCTGCTGAAAATTGTCTGCACCAGCGATGCACCATCTGCTTGCTCATGACGTTAGGCCCATAGACCTGGCACAGCTGACAATGAATNAGGGAAATCTGCGGGACATGACTGCTGAGTTCTGCAATTATGACGTGACGATTCTCCATAATGTGTTCCCGCACAAGCTCCACCAGGTCATCTGTAATGATGGAAGGCCGCCCACTGCACTTCTCATCATGCACACTTTGTCGACCTGCTGAAAATTGTCTGCACCAGCGATGCACCATCTGCTTGCTCATGACGTTAGGCCCATAGACCTGGCACAGCTGACAATGAATTTCGATCGGCGCTATGCTCTGTGCACTGAAGAACTTTATCACTGACCGCACTTCACAGTTGGCGGGAGTTGGAATAAGAGCCTCCATCTTCAACAGCTGCAACGATGCTACTGTTGGAACGCAGGAAATTCCGTTTGTGCATGTGCCATGCTACATCATTGCTCTATCACGTACACACAGTCGCTTCACGCAATATAAGGTTTGCTAGCTGTGGGATGAGTGGGAAACTTACTTTGTGGACGTGCTATGTACATATCANGTGCTCTGCGCATTGAAAAACTTTATCACTCACCGCACTTCACAGTCGGCGGGAGTTGGAATAAGAGCCTCCATCTTCAACAGCTGCAACGATGCTACTGTGGGAACGCGGGAAATTCCGTTTGTGCATGCGCCATGCTACGTCATTGCTCTATCACGCACATGCAGTCGCTTCGCGCAGTATAAGGTTTGCTAGCTGTGGGATGCGTGGGAAACTTACTTTGTGGACGTGCTATGTACATATCAAGTTTCAAGAAGATTGGTACAGATGTTCAAGCAATATTAAGGTTTTGCCTTAGAAATGTCAGAGGCTGTAATGTTGGTATTACTGTTGAAAGGAATTTATGAAGTGAACCACTGAGATGGCCTGAGGTGATATGATATACATGCCAAGTTTCATAATGATAGGTTTGGGCATTTGAGTAATATTATTACCACAACAATTGGATAGGCTAAAGTTCTGATATTACTGATGGCTGGGATTTATGAAAATATGCTGTTGAGATGGCTTCATGTGTCATGAAATATACATCAAATTTCATAAAGATTCGTACAGGCGTTCATTCAACATTAATCTTTTGCCTCAGCAATTTAAGAGGGTGTAGCATTTATATTACTGATGGAATGGATTTAAGAAATATGCCCTTGAGATTGGCTCAGGTGTCGTGATGTACATACCAAGTTTCATAAAGACTGGTTCAGGTATTAAAAAGTTGTTGTGGGGAGCAGGGGACGCATGAGACACACAGACAGCAAGGTGTTCTCATAAGCCTATTTAGATTTTTTTTTTAAATAAGGAAAGTAGGACAATAATATTTTCCAATACAAATACCATTGTTTCTGAGCAGGCAACGTGCCTGTGCCGAGTATGTAATGAGGCCATCCAACAGTGTTGCCAGATTGAAAATGCTTAAAAATATCTGCTAAATGTTTACTGAATTGTATTGATACTGCCTGTAATAAAGGATGAATAATAATTCCATATTTTTCTAAGTAACTTATTAGGTGTCACTTGAATCCAACTGAACAATTACATAGAAAATTTAGTAAACATTTTTTGTAAAGTTCTTTCAACTGAAGGATGTTCCTGCAGGCTGCACAGTACCATCTGGTGTACTTGATGTCCATATTACAGAAAGGACATTTAGATCTCCAAGTCTCCTTCATGCTTTCATTCAAGAATTCTTACAGATTTAAAGAAGGACCTGTTAATTTATGCATAAGATAGTATAAACTACTGGGATAGCACAGTCAGTATAGCAACTGGCTATGGTCTGGATGGCCGAGAGGTCAGAGTTTGAGTCCTGGTAGGATCAAGAATTTTCTCTTCTCCACATCATCCAGACCAGCTCTGGGGTCCACCCAACATATCCAATGGGTACTGGGGGCTTTCTCCCCTGGGGTAAAGCAGCTGGGACATGAAGCCCCAGCTAGTGCCGCGGTCATGAAAATGTGGATCTATACATCCACTCCCCCATATGCTTTCATGGAATAGTGCTCAATTAGTTAAGCACATAGACAACTTTACCTTCCTTTTACCTTGTACCCAGTAATTTATGGGTGAGGAAGGTGCCAGATTTGGACTGGGCATATCCAGTGCAGATTGTTCTATAAGACTTTCCATTTTCCCACCTTTGCCAGTGTTAAAACTGTTGATGTGTGGTACTGCATGCCCCAGTGACAGTTCAGATCTTCTGACCAACTGTGGGTCCCCACTGTCATCCATCATCCTGCCACAGAGTGGAAAAAAATATCCACATTGGGGCACCCATGATTTTACTCTTGCCAGGCAGGCAAACACCAAGATGATCAAAGATCACAGCATGAACAACTGCCTACCACCAGTATCACCTAGAGAACCATCATTACTACAGAAACATGAAATACAGAAGAGACATTTTTACCTTTCAGAAGTAGAAACTCACCTGAAGTACAGTATCAACTGTCCAGGGTGCTCCCCCAATCTTGCAGTTAATCTGGATGGCCACTTTGGTTGCAATAGACTTAATGTTTCTACTGGTAAGATTCTTGTTAAGAATCATCTGTGTGGGTATAGGGCACTCCACACAGCACTTCTTCTTGATGGCACTATCAACACAAGATTTGTTTTCATTCCTGGTGACTGAATGAATCAGCTTATGTCTCATAGTCTACAGGTTTTCAGGTTCTCAGGTTCTCACAGTGGTCATTAGCATGAGTTCTATCTTCTGGGATATAATGTGTAAAAGGTAAAGTTGTCTCCGTGCTTAACAACTGAAGCACTACACCATGAAGACACATGGGGGAGTGGACATATAGACCCGTGTTTTCTTGACCTCGGAAATAGTGGGAGGTAAGTGGTCAGCTTCATGCCAGAGAAAGAGCTGTTGGTACCCACTGGATAGGAGGTTGGGTGGGCCCCACAGCCAGTCTGGATAACACTGAGAAGTGGAAATTCTTGCCCCCACCAGGACTTGACCTCTGACCTCTTGGTCGTCCAGCCCATAGCCATTCATTATACTGAATGTGTTATCTAGGCTCTGTAACAATGTGTAGCCTGCTGAGTCATCCAGCATTTTGGAGGAACATGTCACCTCCATCTTCAGGGTCAATGAATAAGCTAAGCAAGGAACTAGCATGGCACATATCCCAGAAGATAAAACTTGACATCTCCTAGTCTGTTTCCTGAGCTCACCTGTACAGATCTAGGCGACTGCTTGGGAGTACCACAAAAATTAATCTTGGGTTGCAAGATCTCAACACATTATCTATGGCTTTCACATAGCTGGCAATGCGAATATCATCAACTTCCATGTATGCTGGGTCTGAGAAACGCAACTCCATACTACATCCAGCTGCCCTCAGTGCTGATATAAATTTTCCCACATCACGCCTCTGGCGGTTTGGCACAATCACTGCCCATGAGTCAATTTCTTGTGGTACTAGCAATGGATGTACTGTAACAAAATGTTGTATCAGTTAT